CCTAGTTTTTTAATGAGGATGGGGTGGTCGACAGTGTCAAAGGCCTTGCTGAAGTCCAGAAAAACTACATCCACGGTGACACCTGCATTCAATGCTTTTGTGACCTGATCGTAAAAGGCAATCAGGTTGGTCTGACATGACCTGCCCTTAATGAAACCATACTGGTTGCCCTTGAGCATCATCCTTGATGCCGGTCCGTCACAGATGTGCTCCTTGATGATCTTTTCAAAGAGTTTCCCCAGGATTGAGGTAAGACTGACAGGCCGATAGTTGCCCGGGTCCTCCCTCCTCCCTTTTTTAAAATAACCCCTGCTAGCTCCCTCAACACCCTGGGTTGGAGAGCATCTGGACCTGCTGATTTGGACACGTCCAGCCCCTTCAGAAGCACTCTAACCCGGTCCTCCTCAACCTTAGGTCTGGAGGCGTTCCCCTCGAGTCCGTCTTGAATCACAGTGTGCCCAGCGTATCTTGCAGGGGCCCCACATTTCCCTGCGCCTTCTTCATCCTTCCTATATATTTGAAAAAGGACTTTTTATTATCTTTGATCTTGGATGCTAGTCCTAGCTCTATGTCCGCCTTAGCTTTCCTAACAGCCCTCCTACAGGCCCGAGCAGTGGAGGTATACTCCTCTTTGGAGATCGCCCCCGCCTTCCACCGGGTGTATGCCGCCTTATTAGCAACCATTCCCGGACGTCCTTGGTGAGCCAGGGGGGCTTTGGGTACTCTTGCCCCCCTTGCTTCTTGTTGGGATCGTCACCCCTTGTGCCCTGACCTGGACGTCCTTGGTGAGCCAAGGAAGCTTTTGGGCACTCTTGCCCCCTTTGCTTCTAGTTGGGATCATCACCTCTTGGGCTGTTCTCATCGTTCTCATAGCTCCATAATAGCTGAAGTAACTTTGGCTGTCTCACCTAGTTATTCATTCACCAACTGATCTAGCTCTCAGACTGTGCAAATCCAATCTTAGTGTCAGTTTTATGCTCCATCCAGAGCTGAAGGCCTGTACATGGCATGACTTCAGGCAAGTCAAGGAGATCCTAAAAAATGGAGGAGGTTCTCAATTTGAGCAGCTTAGAATCCACTT